TAAACAAATTCAAAGTTTGGTTCAAGACTGTTCCTTCTTGTTCAAGTTGTGCTGTTGTTGGATTTTGTTCACGGATGGAATGACAAATGGGTTGGATACAATGAGCAGTTCTGGTCAGTTTTATAATGTACCCATGTTCATCTAATATTCTCATTAATTTGTGCTTTCTTTGGGTTTTAATATTTGTCTGTCTTGTATCGTCTTTTCAGGTACATAGCGTTGTTTGTTGTTACACTTATATGTTATGTGGCTACATTTGCCTTCAATGGACTTCTTTTCCATTTTTTGCACCATCTAGACATGACTATGGGCTAAACACATTCTTTATTTTAATGGCTCTTATTTTTGTCTTCTGCTTCGCTGTGGTCACTCTTCATCCTAAGTATCTTGGATATTTCTTCCTATAAATGAATATTTCATACCCACCATTTTCTTAAATGCTCTGTTGAGCCTGTGCAATTTGGTATTCAAAGTTCATGGAGCCAACTTTGCAAGGATATTGACCTATACATTCTTTTCGTGGGTGCATTGGATATGATGATATATATGTATGTGCGAAATGAAGACCTGGGACTTTCTTGTATTCCCTATGTAAAGTATCATTGCAGTTTAACATTGCAACAGAATTACCTTTTTTTTTTTCTTTCTTAAAAAAAAAAATCCAAACTGTCTGATCTGACCAATGCACAAATGATTGGAGTTCTCAAACAAACAATTGTATCCCAATTCATCCATCCATCAAGATTTGACATTTGATGCTGTATAGGTGAAAGGAAGCATCTTCCCAGCTTCAGTTTTATCATTGTACTGCACATATCTTTGCTACAGCGGTCTTGTGAGTGAACCTAGGGATTACGAATGCAATGGCTTTCATAACCACTCAAAAGTTGTTTCCAGTGGCACCCTTACTCTTGGGCTCGTCACGACAGTTTTATCTGTTGTCTACTCAGCTGTCCGTGCTGGATCTTCTACAACTTTGTTTTCTCCTCCAAACTCACCACGGGCAGGTCTGTATGAACTTCTGAACCCACTGTGGTTTCAAAAACTTAAAGCTGAATAAAGTCGGTAAAGAGTGATTGGTTTTCTGTTGTAGGCACTGGAAAGTCTTTGCTACCATTGGACAGGGCCGATGAGCATGAAGAGAGAGAGAACGCAAAGCCTGTTACATATTCATACAATCCTTATGCTCTGGACCCTTGTCCAGCATGCATGCTGGACACGGATAACAGTGCCGTTAGACACTATTATCTTTTTTTTTTTTAATTTCAGATTCGTTATAGGAATATATGTTCATAATTTTATTACTATATGTTCATAATTGTAAGTTCATAATGTCAGAGCTCTATGTTCATAATTCAATAACTGTACATTTATACTTCCATAATTGTACATTCATAATTCCGTAATTGTACATTCATAATTCAATAACTGTAACTTCATAATTTTCGAAGCTCTATGTTCACAATTTTAGAGCTCTATGTTCATAATTTTATCACTATATGTTCATATTGTAAGTTCATAATGTCAGAGCTCTGTGTTCATAATTTCATAACTGTATATTCATAATTGCATAACTGTACATTCATAATTGCATAACTGTACATTCATAATTGCATAACTGTACATTCATAATTCAATAACTGTAAAATCATAATTTTCGAAGCTCCATGTTCACAATTTTAGAGCTCTATGTTCATAATTTTATCACTATATGTTCATAATTGTAAGTTAATAATGTCAGAATTCTATGTTTATAATGTCATAACTGTACATTCATAATGCCATAACTGTACATTCATAATGCCATAACTGTACATTCTAATGGCACAAACGAATAACGCCGTTAACGGCGAGACAAAATCAAAATTTTTTTTTTTTTAACTGGAATGACGCGTTTTTCTTAAAAATAAGAGCATAGCATAAAATCTTAATTATTGAGAACAATATATCAAAAGACTCAAACGTGATTAAAGATATTTATAATAAAATATGAAACGTAATTAATTGGATAAAATAGTTTGAATAAAAAACATGTAATAAATCACACATCTTATATATTGATAACATATTTACAAATACTTTTTTTTAATTAGATCACTTTCAAGTTTTTCTAGATTAATTTGAATACGATGACGCACAATAAAACTTCTAAACTACATTGACTAGATAATTCATTAAAAAAAATTAAATTCTTTTAAAATATTTTTTCATAACTAAATCACAAAATATATTACATATATACATAACTCATTATAAAGTTCACAAAATAACAAATATTCTAAATATAAGTAGTAAATTACTCAAATAAAAATAGATTCAAAATTTAATATGAATTACAAATCAATCTATATTATAAATCTCACTATAATTATAGAAAGGTAAACAATAACAAAGTTTCAGAATAAATTTAGAAAAATAAAAATTAGAAATAGAAATAAATAAATTGTAAAAAATGTTATGTAAAATGTTATACAAAGGGATTTGATCCCTTGACCATGAGCATAAGCATACATACAAACTACAAGTCTTACCAATTCAACCAACTCAAATGTCAATAAAATACAATTCTTAAATTCATGTAGTAAATAGTGTGTGGGGGGGGGGGGGGGGGAATTTTTATGTAAACATAAGGGGCATTCGATCCCTTAAACATGCGAATTGAAACACCAAGGCTTACCAACTTAGCGAGCTTAGAAACCCTTAATGCAAACACATATTAAATAATTATACCATATTTCTATATAGTATATATAAGAGGTAATTCTATAAGGCAGTGGGCCCTTCCGAGCATGGGGCCCTGGGCAAGGGCCGGGCCTGCGGCTCTGTGGGTGGGAGTGGGAAATTGGTGGATGTCGGGTGGGTGTCTGTTTGGGTCAGAATTGCGACCGGATGGGCAACTGCTGCTCTATTCATCTGGTCCCTGGTTGCTCCAATTCTCTTACCGGATAGGGAGTTCTGAGCATAGGCCAAAGTGCCAAACGGCCACAATATTTTGTATATAAGCCAGGACCACAACCTGTGACTTACGAAATTCACTCCTTAATGCCATCTTAATCCTTGCAAGTGGATTAATGGAGATGTTGACCTGTAATAATACCATTTTCTATGAGGTGCCATGTTCATCTGTGAAAAGTATTCATCTTTTGCAGTTATTATCAGCAAATTATATTGTGAACCTCGGCCACCTTTCAAACGGATCTAATACAAGCATGGTTGCAAAAATCGCGCCTAGGCGCTAGGCGCCCGGCCGCCGCCGCAGGGAAGGCCGGAATCGGCCTCCTCCGCGGCCGGCTAGGCGGTCTAGGTGGCCGCCTAGCTGGCTGAACCGGCGTCTTTTAATTTTTTTTTTATTTTTTTTTATTTTGCGTGGTAAAGTGGGAAATGTTCGGGAAGGCACAACTTTAGACTCGGTTATCCGTTTTGGACAATTTTTTTTCAAATCGCGTATTTTCTGCCTCCCAAATTATCAGTAATTTCATCTCACAAATATCAATATTGACTAAAAAATATGTATTGAATTTATAAATTTTAAAAAAATATGTATTGAAATTATGAACTTAAAAAAAATGTATTGAAATTATAAACGTAAAAAAAATATGAAACTTAAAAAAATATGTATTGAAATTAGAAACTTAAAAAAAAATATGTATTGAAAGTAGTAACTTGAAAAAAATATGTATTGAACAAAAAATATATTATAAACAAAAAACAGATAATTGTAAATAGAAACTTAACAAAAAATATATGTATTGAAAATAAAAACTTAAAAAAAATATTGCACAAATAATTAGGCATTAAAAAAAACAGTGACGAGTTCATCTTTTTTTTTAATTTAATATTTTAATTAATTAAATTTTGAATTAAAATATTATTAATTACACCCCATAAATGAGGTTTGACCAAGTTGTGCAAATAGCAAAATGAACTTTCATTTGGCTATTTACACCACCTATATAATTATTGAAAGCTTTCACCTTTTTACAAATTCAGAATACTTTATATCCACTCTTCCAACTTTAAATACTTTATATCCACTTTTGACCAAAGAGTGGTGCAAATAGTAACACCCTTTGTCATATATATATATATATATATATATATATATATATATATATATATATATATATATATATACACACATATATATTGTATGTGTGTATATATATATATACATACATATATATGTGTGTATATATATATATACATATACATATATGTGTGTATATATATATATACATATACATATATATACATATATATATATATATATATATATATATATATATATATATATATATACTTGATTCGAACCTTTGCCATTGCCATCCTAGTTAAGTCAAACAAATTGGCCTAGTCAGTTCTGACTTCACCGGTTCATGGCTATAAACCGGTTCTTCGTTGCAATCGTAAATCAATCCTTTAATTCCTATGTCTTATTTCTCTTCAACAAGCCCCATCAATGATCACCATCATCTTCTTCCCTGACAAAGCAAAGTACGACTCCTTTCTCTATTCCATATTGTATTTCCAAGTAATTTAATTGTCATACTCTTAGTATTAATTTTTTTAACCTTTGTAACTGATAAACATTATTTTTAGTGTTATTTTATATAATATTTTTATAGTTTATTTGCAATAATTAATAACGAATTAATTAATTTATATATATTTTTATTTATTATTAGTTTTAATAGGTTTATTAATTTTGTTCAAATTTTAGAATAGTTATTATTAAATTTATTTAGTATTTGAATTCTGTCAGTTCAATAATTCTTTGATCCTAATTATTAATAATAATATTAAATTTTATTTTAGTAGTACATGATCAGCAGAAGTTTAATAAATGTAGATTAGTTATATATGGTCCCTAATAAAATTATAATAATAATAATAATAATAATTATTATTATTATTATTATTATTATTATTATTATTATTATTATTATTATTATTATTATTATTATTATTATTATTTTCCTCCTTGTCAATCGTAAAAAGCGAACGAGAGAGAGAGAGGCGTAGGCTTTTTCAGCGTCGCCACTCGCCAAGCATGAAACCCGGACAGCATGGACCGATTCCAGTTCGGCGAGGTTTGCGCATCGAAGCTCGGAGGTACGGAGGAGGCAGTATAAAAGAGGGCGGCTTCAAGGAAGAAGGATCGTCAATCTCACTCCGGACCAATTTCGGTCGGAGGTGATTTTCTAGAAAAGTTTTCCGATCAGAGAAGATTTTGTTCCGGCCGGCGGACAGCAACTCTCTTCGACGGTGAAGTTTGGTGGGCAGCAGATTTATTTTCGACGGTGGCGTTGGACGGTTGGCGGAAGTCCAAATCGCAAGTATCTTCCTGGTTTATTTTCTCTCAATTTAATTCACTTAGCCTTTTGTTTAATTGTCACTAGCAAGTTCTCAATTTTTGGTGCCATTCCAATTAATTTGTTTATTTTATTTAGTTCTCAATTCCAATTTTGTTAGTGTGCACTGTGCTGTGTTGCTACGTGGATGAAGCTTAATTACAATGACAATGCTTAATGATGTTGCCATGGGTAATTAAAACATTGATGTCCCCTGCTAATCATTGTAATCAAAATGCATTGGTAATTAATTAATTTTGCTGTAGTTTGATTCTTAATTAGTGATTAGTGTTCTTGATCTTCATGCGGCTAAATTTTTCACAAATTGTGAGCACACTGCTTTAATACTTCAATTCCTGAGTACTTAGCTTGCTTTTAATTTTTGATTTTAAATTGCGTCCTTAGTTCTTTCCACTTTGGTTACAAGTTGATATTCTAGTTCCTAGTGATATATTTGTTACCTTCCTAAGCATTTGAATTCAATAACTTTGCTTTTGAATTTATCTTTGGCATTTAATTCTAGCACGTTAAATTAAGTTAATTATTTTAAAGTCATTAAATTGCATCGTACAATTTTTGGTGGGATCGACCCTAGCTAAAAGCACACTACTACTACAATTGACTCGTAGGACTATATATTAAAATTGTCCATCAGTAACTATTTCGCCTGAGGTTCTATTAGCTTAATGAATTTATCGCCTTCATTTTGTTAATTTTAATGATAATTGATTGAAATTTATTGTTAATTCAAAAGAAGTTATACGCAATGTTGATTTCGAATGAGTTTTAGTTTTGTCATGTTAGGGTTTAGCTGTTTTATTTATTGTTTCTATTTTTTGATCGTTGAAGAAATTGAAGATGTGGGCAGCATCTTGTCTCGCATCGTGTTGTGCTGCATGCGCTTGCGATGCTTGCCGGACGGTGGTGTCAGGGATCAGCAGGCGGTCAGCTCGGATTGCGTATTGTGGTCTCTTTGCATTCTCACTAATTGTGTCATGGATTCTTCGAGAGGTTGCTGCTCCCTTTATGGAGAAAATCCCGTGTAAGTTGTTTTCTTTCTTTGCCAATGAATGTTGATCATTTATTCATGGGAATTGCTGAACGGTCTGAACATTGATTTGCTAATTAATTTTCAGTTGCATGGAAGTTCACTTTGTAAATATGGGGCTATGTACTTTGTTCATCTTAGTATGGGGCTATGCACTTTGTAAATATGGGGCTATGTACTTTGTTCATCTTAGTATTTTCAAAGTATTGAATATTGAATTAAAGTTTTTCATAATTTTTTTTTTGTTTTAAAATTGTGGTTGCAGCACATTTACTATTATTGAGCCAGAGAACTTCTGCATGAATAATCAGTGTTTTCATGATAATTTTTTTTTGGTCAGGGATTAATCATTTTCATCAAACACCAGATAGAGAATGGTTTGGAACTGATGCAGTACTTCGAGTTAGCTTGGGAAACTTTCTGTTTTTTACTACTCTATCGTTCATGATGATTGGTGTAAAGAACCAGAAGGATCCTCGGGATAGTGTGCACCATGGTGGTTGGATGATGAAGATCTGCTGCTGGTTCCTCATAGTGATATTCATGTTTTTCCTTCCAAATGAGATCGTCAGCTTGTATGGTTAGCCATACTCTTCCGCTCTTATTAGTCTTTGTATCATTCTTTGTCATGATGACTTCAATCCTGAAAATGCCTTTGCTTATCAAAATGAATATATAAAATAGAGAATATCTTCCTTTACATATTTCCTTGAGTTGAAACTTTCAATTCTTAGCTCATAAGTCATAATCATGGAGTTTGTGCTTTTTTACTCGTTGGTATTAATGTTAAAAGTGCCATTGCATCTTTGCAATTCAGTGAGTTGCTTCTTCTTTAAGCTTTTATTACATATGTTGGCAAAACAATATGAACAATATCATTTTAAGTTTGTTTCACACTGGAGATGCAATTGATATGCAGAAACAACTTCAAAGTTTGGTTCAGGACTGTTCCTTCTTGTTCAAGTTGTGCTGTTGTTGGATTTTGTTCACGGATGGAATGACAAATGGGTGGGATACAATGAGCAGTTCTGGTCAGTTTTATAACGTACCCATGTTCATCTAATATTCTCATTAATTTGTGCTTTCTTTGGGTATTAATATTTGTCTGTCTTGTATCGTTTTTTTCAGGTACATTGCGTTGTTTGTTGTTACACTTATATGTTATGTGGCTACATTTGCCTTCAATGGACTTCTTTTCCATTTCTTCGCACCATCTGGACATGAATGTGGGCTAAACACATTCTTTATTGTGATGACTCTTATTTTTGTCTTCTGCTTTGCTGTGGTCACTCTTCATCCTTCTGTAAGTATCTTGGATATTTCTTCCTATAAATGTATATTTCATAGCCAACATTTTCTCAAACAAACAATTGTATCCCAGTTCATCCATCCATCAAGATTTGACATTTGATGCTGTATAGGTGAAAGGAAGCATCTTCCCAGCTTCAGTTTTATCGTTGTACTGCACATATCTTTGCTACAGCGGTCTTGTGAGTGAACCTAGGGATTACGAATGCAATGGCTTTCTTAACCACTCAAAAGCTGTTTCCAGTGGCACACTTACTCTTGGGCTCGTCACGACAGTTTTATCTGTTGTCTACTCAGCTGTCCGTGCTGGATCTTCTACAACTTTGTTTTCTCCTCCAAACTCACCACGGGCAGGTCTGTATGAACTTCTGAACCCACTGTGGTTTCAAACTTAAAGCTGAATAAAGCCGGTAAAGAGTGATTGGTTTTGTGTTGTAGGCACTGGAACTGGAAAGTCTTTGCTACCTTTGGACAGGGCCGATGAGCATGAAGAGAGAGAGAACGCAAAGCATGTTACATATTCATATTCCTTCTTTCACATTATCTTCTCGCTTGCTAGCATGTATTCTGCAATGCTCCTCACAGGTTGGTCAACCTCTGTGGGTGGGAGTGGGAAATTGGTGGATGTCGGGTGGGTGTCTGTTTGGGTCAGAATTGCGACCGGGTGGGCAACTGCTGCTCTATTCATCTGGTCCCTGGTTGCTCCAATTCTCTTACCGGATAGGGAGTTCTGAGCATAGGCCAAACGGCCACAATATTTTGTATATAGGCCAGGATCACAACCTGTGACTTATGAAATTCTCTCCTTAATGCCATCTTAATCCTTGCAAGTGGATTAATGGAGATGTTGAGCTGTAATAATACCATTTTCTATGAGGTGCCATGTTCATCTGTGAAAAGTATTTGTCTTTTGCAGTTATTATCAGCAAATTATATTGTGCACCTCGACCACCTTTAAAACGATCTAATACAAGCATGGTTGTAAAAATCGTGCCTAGGCGCCGATTAATCGGTGCCTAGGCGCTAGGCGCTCCTCCGCGGCCGGCCGCCTAGCCGTCTGAATCGGCGTATTTTAATTTTAATTTTTTTTTTCGTTGTAAAGTGGAAAAAGTTCGGGAAGACATAACTTTTGACTCGGTTGTTTGTTTTGGACAATTTTTTTTATCAAATCGCGTATTTTCTGCCACCCAAATTATCAGTAGTTTCATCTCACAAATATCAATATTGATTTAATTTTCATACGCTTAGTATTCATTTTTTTAACTGTTGTAACTATCTTCGCCTGAGGTTCTATTAGCTTAATGAATTATCGCCTTCATTTTGTTAGCCTTCATTTTGTTAATTTTAATGATAATTGATTGAAATTTATTGTTAATTCAAAAGAAGTTATACGCAAAGCTAATTTCGAATGACTTTTAGTTTTGTCATGTTAGGGTTTTAGCTATTTTATTTATTGTTTCTATTTTTTTTATCGTTGAAGAAATTGAAAATGTGGGCAGTATCTTGTCTCACATCGTGTTGTGCTGCATACGCTTACAGGGATCAGCAGGCGGTCAGCTCGGATTGCGTATTGTGGTCTCTTTGCATTCTCTCTAATTGCGTGGTAAAGTGGGAAATGTTGGGGAAGAGATTACTTTTGACTCGGTTGTCCGTTTTGGACAATTTTTTTTTCAAATCGCGTATTTTTTGCCGCACAAATTATCAGTAGTTTCATCTCACAAATATCAATATTGACTAAAAAATGGTACCCGGGTTGGACTTCCATTTGGAAGGTTGTAAGTTCGAGCCTCAGTGGAGGCGTTATTAGCTCTTTGTGTTTCAGTAGGTTGAGAAAGTATATGAACAGATACTACAATGTAATAGAGCTAGTAGCATTCAAAAAAAAAAAATAAAAAAAAAAATAAAAACTTAAAAAAAATATTGCACAAATAATTAGGCATTAAAAAAAACAGTGACTAGTTCATCATTTTTTTTAAATTAATATTTTAATTAATTAAATTTTGAATTAAAATATTATTAATTACACCTCATAAATGAGATTTGACCAAGGGGTGCAAATAGCAAAATGAACTTTCATTTCGCTATTTACACCACCTATATAATTATTGAAAGCTTTCACCTTTTTACAATTTCAAAATACTTTATATCCACTCTTCCAACTTTAAATACTTTATATCCACTTTTGACCAAAGAGTGGTGCAAATATTATATATATATATATATATATATATATATATATATATATATATATATATATATATATATTTACTTGGATTCGAACCTTTGCCATTGCCATACTAGTTAAGTCAAACAAATTGGCCGAGTCAGTTCTGACTTCACCAGTTCATGGCTCATGGTTATAAACCGGGTCTTCGTTGCAACCGTAAATCAATCCTCTAATTCCTAAGTCTTATTTCTCTTCAACAAGCCCCATGAGTGATCACCATAATCTTCTTCCTTGACTAAGCAAAGTACGGCTCCTTTCTCTATTCCATATTCTATTTCCAAGTGATTTAATTTTCATACGCTTAATATTAATTTTTTTAACCGTTGTAACTATCTTCGCCCGAGGTTCTATTAGCATAATGAATTATCGCCTTCATTTTTATTTTTTTTTAATTTTAATGATGATTGATTGAAATTTATTGTTAATTCAAAAGAAGTTATACACAATGCTGATTTCGAATGAGTTTTAGTTTTGTCATGTTAGGGTTTTAGCTGTTTTATTTATTGTTTCTATTTTTTTATCGTTGAAGAAATTGAAGATGTGGGCAGCATCTTATCTCGCATCGTGTTGTGCTGCATGCACTTGCGATGCTTGCCGGACGGTGGTGTCAGGGATCAGCAGGCAGTCAGCTCGGATTGCGTATTGTGGTCTCTTTGCATTCTCACTAATTGCGTGGTAAAGTGGGAAAAGTTTGGGAAGGCATAACTTTTGACTCGGTTGTCCGTTTTGGACAATTTTTTTTTCAAATCGCGTATTTTCTGCCGCCCAAATTATCAGTAGTTTCATCTCACAAATATCAATATTCACTAAAAAAAATATGTATTGAATTTATAAATTTTAAAAAAATATGCATTGAAATTATGAACTTAAAAAAAATGTATTGAAATTAGAAACATAAAAAAAAATGTATTGAAATTAGAAACTTTAAAAAAATATGTATTGAAATTCGAAACTTAAAAAAAAAATATGTATTGAAATTAGTATCTTGAAAAAAAATATGTATTGAACAAAAAATATATATATTAAACAAAAACAAATTTATTTTAAATAGAAACTTAACAAAAAATATATGTATTGAAAATAAAAACTTAAAAAAATATTGCACAAATAATTAGGCATTAAAAAACAATGAAGAGTTAAAAAAATAAAATAAAAAATAAAAATAAAAAATAAAAAATAAAAAATCGGCGCCTCCTAGGCGCCTAACTTTTTTGCAACATTGAATACAAGCTCATTTTTAATATATTTATTATATTTTGATACATGTTTATTTTTAGTATATTGCAAACTAAAATGAATATGTAATACATATTTAGTGTATTGAAAGTCAAAATGGATATATAATACACTAAAAATGAACTTACAATATATTAAAAGTAATCATATTGTAACACCCCCGATTTTTACACAAATTTAAAAGCTTAATTAAAGGGAAAAACAAGCTAAACATTCATTCAGAATAAGCGGAAGTGCTATGCTACACCTATCTCAACATAGGTGCACAGGCTAAGTCTAAACCAAAATCTCAATAACAAAGTCATAGGAAATAAGGCACATAGGCCATAAGTCTAAACAAGGGAAAACATGAAGAGCTACACTATCTAAGGTCCACTAGCACGCTCTCCATAAGCTACTCAAAACCTGTAAAAGCATAGGGATAACATCCGTAACATAATATATAGATATAATAAAATCATTTGAGACAGAGAGATACAGTATATATCATTTTAAAACCAAGAGAGGGAACATCAAGAGACACAACATAACACTCTCAACAAAGACCAACCATCAACAACAATCAACAAGTCAATAAGGACAACAAGCAACATACTCAACCATAGACACAACCTACCATAATCACGGTAGAGTTCCCAATAGACATGCTCATAAGCAATGAATACAACAAATCACACAATGACAAATATCAAGTTCCAACCTTATGTCCTGTTCCAACCTTATGGCTACCCCCGACCTTATTTCAGTTCCAACCATTACCTCCTAGTGCCACCCTGTACTTCTGAGTCCAACCTTATTCCGCCTGGGACCGTCGTCCCCCGCCAATCTTTACAACCAATCATTATACCGTCGAACTCTCAGTACACGAGGGTACCATTAAATAACACAATATTACCACCGATCTCGTGAGCAAAACTCAATAATATTACCACCAATCTCATTCATAGTTACACATAGTCATCATCAAGAGGATTGAGGCTCATCAATAGCCCAATCAAGTATCAACAACGGGTACAACAAATGTACAAGATCACATCATAGAAATCAATCAAGAAGTTTCAATGATAGACATGAAACAATACTCAACAACAACAACGAACTTCAATCCAATATCAACATGATTGGAAACACAAGTTGCCAATCCTCAAGAGAATGGACAAACAACACATACTAGCATCAACGACATCATATCTAGCATACTCATCAAACGGGTAAACCAAAACGGTTCCAACGAACCTCAAAGACCCACATAAATCTAACGAATCACAAAGTTGGACTATTAGCACGATTCAAGACACCAAATCCTAACATAGATACTTAGGACATCGTTCTAGACATACGAAACATCAAGGAGACACCCAAAAACTCAACAATCCAACAAAGGGAGGCCAAAACATCACATACCAAAGGGTGGAACCACGGGGAAACAACCCCCGCCACAATTGTAACACCCCGTGTTAAGACCTTCAAATCTGAATTAATTATTAAACTAATCCCGCTAATTAAAATAATTAAAAGGGGGGCTTAATCCAATTATAATCTCCTTAATTAACTTAGGTGGTCCACAATGGATCATGGACCCTTATCCTTAATCCTATAAGAAATAGGATAAGTGGACCCCTACTATTCAGACCCTAGTTGGGACTCCTAAATCTATATATAGGGACTTGGGAAGCATTTCAAAACCCTGCCACCAAACATAGGAGAATCCACGGAAAAAAGATCTTAAAGAAGAACCTTAGTAGCCAAGGATATTGATTAGGGCTAAGAGGTAACCCATGTCTCGACAAAACCTATTTTCCTTGCTATATCTTATTCATTGGCTCCTTTGATATATGATTCTATGCTTGAGTCTTGATAGAGCTTTGCCTAGGATTTATATTGTGTTTATGTGATAATCTTGATGTTCTTGATACTATGATTAATTATATGAATGATCTTGTATTTTGATCGTGTCTAGAGCCCTAGGGTTATATCGTAAAATTCGTATTATGATGTTCTTGGTTAATTTGGGTGGGATTTTGCATGTTTGGGTGTTGAGTCTTGCTTAGGACTTGTGTTTAGGACTTTGCATATAGATTTCTTGATGTTCTTGTGTTGGTCCCAAAAGAGGTAAGGTGAAAGTCTAGGGGGGGGGGGGGGGGGGGGGTGAATGGACTTTCAAACTTTTTCGCACAGCACAACAATTGCTAAGCCAGAGATAAACCAAAACTCTTAACTAGATTGTTAGAGTATGGTGCACAGCGGAAATAAATAAAGATAAAGTGTGTGTGAGATTGTGACAATTATATCTCGTGTGAAGCAGGTAAAGAGCAGTAAGTAAAGAAAGCAGTAAAGAACACAAGACAATTATAGTGGTTCGGAGGTGGTGTAATCCTCCTACTCCACTTGCTCTTATCTCCAAGAGCAATTCACTATATCCACCACTTCTTGGTT